CTAAGTGCTTATTTTTTTAGATAAGAGCCCCAACTACTCATTGAATGTGGCAATTCACCTATTTGGGGTTACAGGCTTAAGTGTATTTTGATTATATAAATTTAGGAGAAATTTCAAGATAATTTAACATCTTCAACTTTTATTTACAAAGGGCATGAGGATGGGTCAATGAATATGAAAGGGGCTATATACTTGGATTAACAAGCACACTGCATTCCAATGTCACAACAGTTAGTTAGAGAATTAGAAATAAAATGATGCAAAAACAGAGGACCCAGTGATAAGAAGGTTGATGTTTCAGAAATAATTCAGGGCTGAATAAAGTGGTGCCTGACATAGAACATATAAACTGTGCACCTAGGGGCTTAGGGCCCAGGGAGTGGAGCACTAAGTTGGGCAAACGTCCAGGAGGCAGGGAAACTACCGTCAATTTGCTCTGGATAGGCGAAAGAGAAGGGACTCAGGTGACTGACATTTGAAATAGAAATGTGGAAATGCCTTGAGCTTTCTGAGTGAAAAAAAAAAAAAGTGCTCTTCCGGTAACAAATATGAACAATGTTAAATATAATGCTATATTTATCAGTAAGGCTACTTAATCTAGATTTTCTGCTAATGCAGTGTCAAGAACCTTAACTGGCAGAATGGGAGACAATAACTTGTCTGGGATATGATCTAGTTGGCATACATGTTTCCCAGGTGGAAATTACAAGTAGGTTTCAAAGCTTCGAGGACTCAATGAGGATTAGGAGCGATCTGGTGCCGACTTTTTCCCCGGAAGCATCCAGGGAAGCAGAACAGCTCTACAGTCACTGTTTTCTGCACAGACAGTAGCACATAGAGGCCATAAAGCCACCTGGTTCTCTTGCCTGTGTAGGAGCTATGCATGAGAGGACTCAAAGGACTGATTTCACTGCTGACGTATGAGAATTTCAGTCCATTTAAAATGATTGACTATAATCTCTAAACTGTGATTTGCAACTAGTGGTTAAGGAATCGTCTCCTTTCCCTATATTTGTAAATGGTGTGCATTAATTACAGTCTTATTTCTTTGCTTAAGAGAATCAGTCAGACTGGCTTATAGCAACAGAGTCATTTATATTTGCTTCATACCGTTTATTAACACAAGGAGTGTCTCTATTGCTATTTTCAGTGTTTCATTTTATTTTGCTAAGAGCATTATCAGTTTTATCAGTCATTATTTCTGTTTCTAACATATTTCCAAGATGTTGATGACAGTACATCATTATCAACTAAGAAGTTTGCAGCGTTTAATTCTTCATATGCAATGCACAGTATAACTGATCTGTATAGTAAATTAAAATTATATAGATAACAATGGAATTTACCCTTGTAAGGAACTTTAAAAATCATTTGTTTAAAATTGACATCCTTATTTTAAATAGGAGATGACAGCCTGCAGAAGTGAAATGACTTGGCCAACATCATACAGTTAATTAATGGCAGTTATAGGATTAAAATTCAATAGTTTGTGTATTCGGTACATATTATGAAATAAACATTATTCTAAGGCTTTACCTATACTAACTAACATAATTCCCATAATTATTGCATGTAGTAGGGCTACTATTATCCTTATCCTAAAGATGACATAACCAAAAGTAATCTTCTCAAAATCATTCAGCTGGTGACTAGTAGAGCAAGGAGGAGGAATCAAGGATTCTGTTCCCAAGGTTGCCATATCTTAATCTCAAAGATACTGATTTCAAGTCCAATGTCCTATATACTTTGAAGTTCATTATTTAAAATATATTTATGGTCTTGTTTATTTATAAAAACACAGGAAAATGTTTTTGTAACAACCTGAAGGAGATAGAGACTAAGTAGTATCCAATTTTATAGATGAACAAATTAGAGACAGAAATAACACATGTCTAGTTTAGCTTACGAACTGGTGGTAAAACAGAGCAAAACTCTTATTTTACTTATTGCTTAAGTGTTCAGAGCAAATGACTAGTTGACTTTAATCCTAATGTCAGCCCCACCAAATTTCTGGCATCTATTCTCTTTCTTCCTCAGTTTCCTCAAACCAGGGCTCACCTTCCTGCACAGAGATAGTGTTTCTCCAGTTAAGTCACCCAGCTCCCTCTACACTGCCCAGAATAATGTAGGGTTTAGCATTAAATCAGTCAATTGGGTCATTGTTTTGCTCACCAGGATCCTAATTTGCAGCCTGAGCAACTTTGCTGTTCATTGGACTTAGAGTCAAGCTAGTGTTTCTGCTGCACTGTCACAGATTCCAAGATCTATACCTTATCATCCTGTGTTGGGCATGGAATATTCACATTTCTAAAGTCAAGCAGCCATCTGCACCATAGTCCACATGAGAGATCTGTCAGCGTCCCTGGTTCTGATGGCCTCTTCGTAATCCACATAGAATCTTACATGCAAGGCAAACCCGATGTTGTTCTCTTTTATTCTAACATTTAAAGATAAGAAGAGCATGAGACCATGTATGTTACATAAAGACTGTAGCACTATAAGTATAAGCCAGCAACGTAATCATAATTGTTATTTTAGGTACTTTTAGGGACTGAAAATGACTTTAGAGGACCAGAGCTGGCCCTAGAGTAACCTTCTACTTTTTGCCTTAAATTACAGTGGTACCTCAAACACTTTCCACTGTCTTTGGGACAATTTACTGATGTGTGTGTATATATGCGTGTGTGGTATGTGTGTGTATATATGTACGTGTATATATGCACTGTGTGTACTAGTGTGCTGTGATATATAATGATTGGTGTATACGATGACTGATGTGTATAATGTCGTGTATAATATAGCTGTCTGCTGTATGTGGTGAGTATTACTATAGTGTGTGTAATATCTGATGGCTGTATTATAGTGAATAAATGTGCTGTTATATTGTGATCGTGTATTCTGTGTGTGTGTATAATATAACTGCTGGTGTATAATATATATATAATTATATAGAGAGAGAGAGACAAAACTACTGTCTCTTCTCTAGAAATGCCCTTTGCAATGTCAACTCATGATATTGGGAAAGGAGGTCACTGTGACATTACTGGCACACGGCCCCAGGATTTTTCTCCAACCCAAACAGTGTTACTAAGAGGCATTCAACAAAGCTTAACAGTGTGCAGTAGGAAGGAAATTTTTTTATTCTCGCCATTATTCCTCTAATTGAAGGGTGATGTTCTATCTTGATCAGCAAATTCAATACATACTTTAATTGAACAAAATTAATGTTCTTCTCTAGAAAACATAATTATAATAATTATTAATTATATATAAAATATTAATATGTATATAATATATATTCATTTATATATATATTAATAATAATCATTATCAATATAACTAGTATTGGAACGATGGTTACCAGGAAGCAGCTAGATATATGTTCCTCTGTATTTCTAACAAGATTTGGATAGAACATAGACATACATGATGTGTAGCTTGGAAATCACATAGATGATACAACATGACTACTGTCCATGTGGCCATTTGCACGAGCTTTCAATGAATTTCCAACGCATTTGTGTCTAACACTGCCCAGTACATTCTCATGCTTCCCTACTTCATCCCGGT